GAGGGTTGATAGTGACCTATTGGGCAGTGATCACTTTCCTATAGTTTTGAGGGAGATTGGCCGTGGTCAATGCCACTCGCCCCAATTGCCACAGTGGAAGTTGGACCATGCCAACTGGCTCTCTTTCACCTCTCTCTCAGAACTCGATTCTGCTGTTGCTAGTCTGCCATCTATTAACGACTGCATGGAGGTGGTAACTGATTGCATCATTCAAGCAGCTTTTTGTTCTATTCCCAAAACCTCTACATGTTTCCCATGGTATCCTCATCTATGGTGGTCTCCAACCTGCAATCAGATCCAGATCTCAGAAACGGGCCTGGGATACCTTTTACGGGTATCCCACTTTTTCCAATTGCATTGCTTTCCAGCAGGCCTGTGCCCATGCTTAGCAAGCCAGACGTCAAAGCCAAAAGGAATCTTAGATTAAGTTCCCAACTCACATCTCTTCTACCACCAGTTCCAAAGTCATATGGGACAAGATTCAGAAGGTCAATGGGAGATATGCTTCACATCCTTTCCATCTTGCTCTCCAAAGCCCAGGAAGTTGCCAGTACACTTGGTGAGAGTTTTTCTCATATTTCCAGTACTTTCTTCCCCAGCCTTCTGGGCCTTCAAGTCATCACCTTCAAGAGCAATCACCTCTTTTCTTTTGGGCTAATCATCTCCATGACTATAATCACCCAGTTATGTTGGTGAAACTCAAGTTTGCTCTTCATTGGTCTGGCAGTACATTGTTCACACCTGATGATGTTCACTATGAGATGCTGCACATTTTTCTCCTCCCTCTCTTGCTCTTCTTTTGGTTGTCTTAGGCAGATCTGGCAGGATAATGTTTTTCCTGATGTTTAGAACAAGGCTATTGTTTTACCTTCTTCTTAGTCTGGAAAGGATCCCAAGATTTCTTCTAAATATCATTCAATTGCTATGACTAGCTGTCTCTGTAAGGTCTTGGAGAGGATGGTTAATTCTCATCTTGTTTGGTTCCTTGAATCAAACAACCTTCTCTCACCTACCCTGTGTGGGTTCTGTCAACAGTACTCCACCATGGGCCACCTGATTCAACTTGAAACCTTGATCAGGTGGCCCACGGTGGAGTACATCTTTTTTCTGTCTTCTTTTTTTTTCATCTTGAGGCTTATGACACTATGTGAGGGTACAGCATTTTGCAGGACCTCCATTCATATGGGTTGGGTGGCCATTTGCCCATTTTTATTTTTAATTTTTTACTAGACAGGTGATTCCAAGTCTTTGTGGGAACTTCCCTTTCCCATTCTTTCACACAGGAACTTGCAGTCCCTCAGGGCTGTGTCTGGGGTGTCACACTTATCAGTATTAAGATCAATGCTATTACTCGACAACTTCCTCCTACTGTTGCAAATAGCCTCTGTGTTGATGACTTCCATATTTCTTGTCAGTTATCGAGTATGAGGTTTATTGAGCGGTAGCTTCAAACTCTCTCAATCACTTGTTAAAGTGGACCACAGCAAACAGTTTAACCTTTTCTCTCTCGAAAACCGTTTGCACGGACTTTTGCCACCAATTGGGTTTACACCACAATCTCGAGCTCTGTCTCAGTGATGTTGTTCTTCCCATGGTCACCAAATCAAAGTTCTTGGGGTTTATCTTTGACTTTAGCGTACTTTCATTTCTCACATCAAGAAGCTATGTGCCAAGTGTGCAAAGGCACTCTTCCATCTCTTGGAGAGCAGATCGATGTGCTATGTTAAAAATCTATCGTGCCCTCATTTGATCCAAACTGGACTATGGATCTCTGGTTCTGCCATGTCCTCTGTCCTGAAGACGTTGGTCCCTATTCATCATCTGTGGCTTCGGCTGTGTATGGGGGCATTCCTCACTTCTCCAGTCCAGAGTTTGTACACAGAATCCCACGAACCTTCTCTTCACCTCTGTTGTTTTCAACTTTCTCTCCAGTATGCTACCAAGCTTCAATTCTTATCACAGCATCCCACCTGGGGTTGTGTCTTCCTTCCCCAGTGGGCTTTGCTCTGGCTGGATTCGGTCTGTCATTGTTGCTGTCTCCAATGGTCAGCTCATCCCACCAAAGCTTATTACCATTCCCACCTGTAACCTTTCTATGAGTCATCTGGAAGGTGGATACTCCAAACTGGAAGTACCATTTTATGTTTGCAGAACATCCTTCGAACCATTTTTATGGATGGTTTGAAATCAGGTGACTCTGTGGGCTCTGCCGTGGTTTGTTGTGGCTCGGCGGTTGCTCACAGGATCCCCTCTATGGTTTCTCTGTTCACTGCCAAGTTGTATGCCATTTCTCTTGCCATGTAGAAGCTATGCAATACACTGACTCTCTTAGCTCTCATCTGGAGCTGGAATTGCTTCATGTTAGTTCTCAGCCTGTTCTCATCAATATTTAGTAATGACTGGCCCATTTTTTTTATTTCTGTTTCCATCCAGTTTTTCTGGATACCTGGTCATATCAGTATTCATGGGAATGAGCTCACTGACACCACACTAAGTCTGTCTGCTCATGTGCCGTGCCTATCCATATATGGACTATGGTCCTGTATTCAAGGCTTGGCTTTGCACCAGTTGGAGGTCGAGTTGGAGTGAGCAACATCATTAATAGCTTTTCCAGATCAAACCTTCTGTTGCTCTTTGTCCATCTTGTTTCCATAAGGATCAAAAGGAGGAAGCTGTCCTGGCTAGGCTATGCATTGGTCATAGTTTTTTAATTCATCATTTTCTTCTATCTGGGACTGATCCATCAATGTGTGGCCTTTGTGACACTCAAGTCACAATAGCCCCTGTTTTACTGTCATGCCATCGTTATGACTGTGAGCGGCAGCACCATTTTAGACATGTATTTTTACAGGTTTACCCCTGATGTTGGTCAGTGTCATTGGCAATAGCAACACTGTCCAACTTGATTGTATTTTTAAATTTTAATGAGCCATTGACCTTTTTAATTCTATTTCAATCTTTTAACTGAATTTTGGACATTGTTTAGTTTTAACTCGATTTATTTTTACATTTTATAGAAATCTAACTTTTACTATTTTTACTGGTTGTTTGGCGCATATAGCCATTTATCTCCCATTATTTGTACGATCTTGCAGTCTCTTCATCTGAGGGTTTTCACCTACTCCCTGTAACTATCTTGACCATTTCTGCTAGATTATACAGAGTGTCCAATACCTAGTTTCACAGGATTCCACTCTGTAGTGAGTGTTGCCCAGACAGGTATGCTTTTATCAAGCCAATTCCACATTTGCAACTATTAATTCAATATTATTTATACAGGTTGCAATAGGCTCTGTAGAAATGAGGTGTTCCATAAGACTACCTAGGAGTTGACCAGGTGATATTACTGTTCTGTGCTAAACCATCACTTAATGACTATCATGAGTAAAGCGTAAAGGGATCCAGCCCGACCTTGCCAATCTTTGGATTGAATAAATCAAGGTCGGTTTGCTTTTAAAAATTTAGGGAACTTGGTTCATCTATTGCATTGTATCAAGAGCACTGTTCTTTAGGACTCCCCAAAGTGCTTTACTCCTCAGATTATACTAGTGGAGCTTGGGAGTCCTTATCCCACCTGGATTCCAGTCAGTGGGATGGTGGACAGAGTCTTAAGAGTAACTTCCTCCATATTAGGAGGAGAGGGCAAGGTTGGGGTCCCTGGATGTTTGTATCCCAAATGTCTGGAGGACTGGTAACATCCTTCACGAGAGCCTACTTGTAATACCGATTCAGATTTGACTCTCAGCTATCTGGTTGGGGTGTGCATTGTCCTTCTCTTTGATCATTATTGGTTCAGTATGTTGTTCATGGAAGAGGGTCCACTCTCTCTCTCTCTTCCTAATTCCAAACACAGAGTGGTCCCATCCTGGGTCCTTGGTTGAGCACAGCTGTTTCACATCCTCCCCATGATTCTGGGGCAATTGGAATGTAGCTTAACCACAAGGTTGGGAGTGAGAATGAATGTTCATAATTCCAGACCAGATGAGTTCTGCTTCCTCAGGTTGAGTAAAGCATACACGATCCATCATTCTGAGCCTGGGGTATTGCCTTTCAGCCTTCTTCAGGTGGAGAAGGTTTGTCCACTTCTGTGTTGCTTACTTTCTCATCATAATTCTAATGGCTTGGAATGCATCACTCTATGGCTATAGGTTGGGAACCACTCATAAGTGTGTATATATATATATATATATATACACACATGACCCCTTAATTCTAACCCTGACTAATGGAACCTCAGCTATCTGGTTAGCAGTTTTAGGTGAAGGTCATACCTTTTCTGGATGTAGTGTGGTTTCCTCTCTAGGGTATCAATCTGTTATTGACACACCAATGATCTATGCAGATGCTTTCTGTATGTATAGTGTCCTCATCGTCCCCTCCACCTTCTCAATGTGGGATTCAAGTTATAAGTGTCAATGGAGGTAAGTATGTTTTGGAAGTTAACATTTTCCTAAATTGAAAGTGTTATTCCAACAATATTTACCTCCACTGATACTCTCCCACCGTTCCTCCCCACTAAGAGCTGGTATTAGAGACTGGGATTGAGTCTGTCTCGAAAAAGTGATAACATTATCTGAATGTGGTGCTTATATACAGTGGAGAGTGTCATGAGACAAATATTGCCAAGGGCAATTGAGTGGGGTATAAAAGATTGGAGCAAGTGAGAAAAAATCAGACCAATGCTTTTATCAGTAAAGGAAGAAACCCTGGTGATCAGTAATAGCTATAAGTGTGAGAAAAGGTGTTATTGGAAATACATTTTCAATTTAGGAAAGTGCTCACTTTAATATACTCATTAGGTTTTTAATGGCTTTTGCCAGATTCACAATAATTTGCAAAGGTTACTGAATGGAAGTTGTTTTAACATTTTATTTATTTATATACTTACCAGTTATTTCATTATATTAAAAAATTTAGAACCTTCAAATGTAATTTAAGAAAAAATTAGGTATTTGCCTTCTGAAACTACGAGTATTTGTCAATATTTCTTATTTTTTCAGGTGTACAATATTTATATGGCTGGTCGGCATTTATGTTCCAGACGTTATAGGGAATTCTCAAACCTTAATAATAATTTAAAAAGAGAATTTCCAGATTTTAATTTTCCAAAGCTGCCTGGAAAATGGCCTTTCACTTTGTCAGAGCAACAGCTAGATGCTCGAAGGAGAGGGCTAGAACAATATCTAGAAAAAGGTGGGTGCTTGTGTACTGTATCTAATAAATAATGACATGTAATTACATTTTCTTTATGGAATCAATTGTATTTCCCACTCTATTGGAATTAGAAATGCTTTTTCCTCTATTAAAAGTTATGTTTGCTGACGGTTTTAATCTGTGAACATGTTGTAGTTCATGAACAAGTTACATATGCATAATTTATTCAGTGCGTTTCAGAAGTGGGCAATTTTAGTATTAAAACATATCTCATGTAAAACCTGAATAGAAAAAAATAGTAACAAAGTCAAAGCATTTTTTTACACAAAACTGCTATAATATACTGCACTGACCCATTGATTAGAAAATTATAATTTTAAAAAGCATAAGTGAGTTAAGGATTTTTATTATTGTGTTTTGAATTGTTAAAATGAAAGAATCAGAGTATCATGTTATTCCACTTTAGCCAATCCATGTGACTGTAAATGAGACTGAATGTAAAACTTAGTGTATGTTAATTTAATAATAACTATTTTAATAAATAATGCCTGCAGAAAATAACCTCTGGTAACTGCCCTTTATAATGTCATAATAATTACACAAACATACAGTATACATATCAGCAATTTGTGTCTTCCATTGCTTAAGTAGGAATATTATTTTAATAGGCTATTGTTATTTATAAACACACAACTACTGTATTTAAGTGCTACAGTAAGCAGCTAATTTAAAGCTATTATATTACAATGGAAAAAGGCAGCACCAGGGAAGTGACTAACAACTTAAATATATCGTTTTGCTGTCACCTATTGCACTGTCTCCAGTGAAAGACATTTCTGGCATGTATCTGAAGAGATTTGGGCATTTCTCTGGTCTCCCCAGTGTGAATTCTATCCCACTTCATCCTTCAAGAAGAGCATGAGAGACCTTTACTACTTTCCAGTTCTTAGTTTTTGGGGTGATGGTCCTTGTGGAGTTCCTCACAGATTGTGTACAGCACAATACAGTAGGAAGTAGGGCAGTGGTGGCACATTCTGTGTAGTATGGGATACCCCTCAGACAGCTATTATTCCCTTCTCCCACTGCAGGACTGGTTTTTCACTCCAATCTGTGTCTGTCCAGTTGAGTTGAGGTCAGACACACACCATACGGTCTGATCATGCCATAAAACACGACACTTCTTAGCTCACTGACCACTTGTATGCAGGTGTTCAATTGATCATGCAAAAATTCCATCCATTCCTGCAACATTTTGAAGCTTTTTTGCCTTTCCTTCTCTTTCCTTCCAAATGAAGAGTTTTTCCTGTTTGAGCACAGGTATGCCCCTATGTAGCCCTTGCCATTAAGTGTCACATTTCATGTGCTTTCTCTTTGGGTGTTTTCTGAAGGGTGTTCATCTACGTTTAATGTTTACAGCTGCCCCTCTACCATTCAATGTAGGATTGTAACTATTCTGTGTGAGGAGGTGAGGAATCATTTCAAAATCTAAAAGTTTCCTTACCTGAAAATGTATTTCTGATACATACTCACTTCTGTGCATATTCCCACCCACTCTCCCTTCTTCCAGTGTACTTTCTTCTTGGCTCTTCTAAGAATGAAATTATTTTGAGCACAAGTGCTTAGGGGAAGCTACTGTGCAAAGAGGTTGTGTCACCTTCCTGTACTTAAAACCTGGTAAACCTGTGCTTTTAGGTGAGAGTTAGTTCAAGGCTAGTGGCATACAAATCTCATTGACAGATACATGAAGGATGAAGCTATTATCTTGTGTGGTGGTGAATATGTATGGAAAATATGTTTTCAGGTAAGGAAAATGTTAATATTTATATTAGTCCTTGTACTTTTTCTCTGTTACATTTACCAAGTGGTACTAATACATCAGTCTACAACTGCTCATGTAGACTTGCATGAAAATGGAGAGAAAAGATCAATTTGTGTTTTTGTATGGAGAAAGTTTAAATCACATAAACCATTACAAAGTGATAGATTGGTGCAGTGAGCAATAGATTACTGTTTAAATGTAAGCCTCAACTCATTTACTATAAATTTAATTATGCCCGTATAAAAAAAAGAACAGGAGCTTAGACATTTGAACTACAAACATTGTAAGTATATTTACAGTGTCATAACTTTCACTAGTGACAAGTATTTTTCAGTTGCCTTCTGTTTTCCTTTCCTTAGTCTGGAGATAGCCTTAAAGAATTACTGGTATATATATATATATATATGCACTTGTTCTATTATTTATATATTTATATGGATCAATCTATCAGGTTAAATTTGTTGATAATTTACTACTTCTTTTCTCATGTTTACCTTACTTTCATTCTCTGTACTTTCCTTAAATAAATCCTGCACCTTTTACTGTTCTGTATTTTAAAAAAAAAAAATATGGCTTAACTTCAACTTAATGGGTGAAAATCTACTGTTAAAGCTTGTCTATTATAAAAATACCATTTGCTAATGCCTATCTCACATGCAACATCATACAATACTACGTGTTAGTGTGATTTAAACCACATGAAATGTGAAGCTAATTGACTGCTTATGGTACTGACCAATCAGGAACACCATTTCATAGACTACTCCTCACTCTTAACTATGAAATGGTAGCCAATTTTGTGAAAATCCTTGACTCTAGGACTTGCTTGCACACAATGAAAGTTGGTACCTCACATTACTCGCAACAGATGGTATCTGCTTATTATTTAAACAACATGAAACTGGGTGTGTGATTTGACTATTCATTTGAGTACTGACCAGCCAGAAGCCAGTAATTCATAGACTGCTCTTTTTTATCTTATGAATCCAATAGCATTCAATTTCAAGATCATTGAGCTATATTTCAATATTTTTTGTGGATTTTGTGAAAAATCCTGGCCATAGGTCTTACTTGTGCATAATGTAAGTTAATATCTCACTTTACTTGAGAAATACGAGTGTTATGTGGTAAATTTTGAATCCTGTCATTGAAGTCTACGTCAGTAAATTATTTTATTATCTTTGTTGTTACCTTTTTTATTTTTGCTAATGTAAACTATCCAGTCAACCAGATTTAATTGTTATAATTTGCTGTGTTTCCAGTTTGTGCTGTTCGAGTCATAGCAGAGAATGATGTTATGCAGGAATTCCTCACAGATTTGGATGAAGAACATGTATGTATGAACTTTTTTATTGTAAAAGTTATCATTCTGTGTTTTGGAGATATACATAACAGGTAATTTTCACAGAAATTTGTTCTTACTAAAGGACTTGTGGGAATAAAACAGCATTATATATATATACGTGTGTGTGTGTGTGTATAAAAAATTAACAAACATTGCAACAGTAGATTACTAAGAAATGAAAAAGCAGTGAAAGTACTTGCAAGCCACACATTGAAATCTCTCATCATGCACCTAGATGCTTAACAATTCTGTTGTAAATATCAAACTGTTAAGTGCGTGCTTACCTTTTTGTCTTATTTGGTAAAGCTGTTGTAGTTGTAAAGAGGTGGGTGGTAGTATTCAGTGAAGTTTTACAAATAATTAGAAGTCATCAAATATGAACCAAAATTCAATCTATAACAGAGTTGCCACTTTACATGTATAAAATAAAGGAAAAAGGTTGACTCTTGTGACTAGTAATGTATTTTAAGTGTATAACAATGGTGAAATGCAGAAAGAGTAAACTAATTAGGAAGAGAGAACTTGAGAGTATACATAATATATACTTGTAAAGAATACAAAAGCATCACACTAATAATTTTACATAGCTTGATAAAACAGAGGGGAGTTTCTCATACATTAACTCTCTTGCTATGGACTTGTTCCATTTGACATAGTTTGTGACCCCAAACTGGCCATCAGAGTTTCCATACTGTAACTTTTAATATGTTTTGTGTATTTTCAAGAAATTCAAGTCTTTTGTAGACAAAAAATCTGAATATTTAATTAAGTATTTTTACTAAAATTTCTCTGTGATTATATGGAGTCAAAGTGATTTTCATGTTAAGATTAAAAATATTTTTCTTCATTTCAAAATTGCCAAATTTCATTTGCATAATCTCTACAACCTCCTAAACAAATATCAAACATGTTTTTCCAGTAAAACTTTGTTTTATCTGTTATTTTCTGTATCCTAACTCTACACCAATTCAGTAAAGTTGATTAACCATGTAACCACCTTAAAAAAAGCAAAATAAATCTAAATTACCTTTTTTTTCAAGAAAGGCTACAAATTTTAACAGAAAACTACAGTTGTTTATCTGAAATAGCTTAAAACTTGTAACAGTATACATCTGTTTCTACTTAACTTTTATTGACCTTTGAACTGTTTCTAACTAATAATCCTACTACACAAGTTTTAACTCACTCAATGAACATGTAGCTCACATTACCCTATTGAATTATGTAACACATGAGCTACTTGTGAAAAATTTTTTCTTATATTGTTAGCATTATTTTTTTCTTCATTTTGCCTCATCTAATCTAACAAGTTTCTGATTTTTACATTGTAGTTACTTTTATAATAATAGACAAAGAATACACATGAAAAACTAAATATAGTTGTTTGCTGTTGACTATAAATAAAACTTAACCTTACTTTTTTATACTAATGTTACTACTAAACTGAATAATTTTTTATTTGATTAAATGCACCAAAAGACTGAGGACGTTTTTTAAGTATTTCCTTATAAAATTAAGAACTTAAAACTAGTGTTAAAATTTGATTTATTGACTACATTTTAATGCCAAGTTTATTCATATTCTATGATAATAAAATAGTTCAATTAAATTTTGAATGTAACTCTCTAAAAGGTGATGCGCACTTTGACCTATTTGTAGCGAGAGGGTTAAAACATTAAATTGTACATGGCAAAGATGATATACATAATACCTTTACAAGTTAGATAAACAGCCTGTACACAAGTAATAAATTTGTCTCATAAGTTGAGATGGCACTTGTGCATGTTTGAAACATTCTAAACTACATCTCAGAACTTCATGAAATGTAAAGAGAAAAAAAAAATTCAAAATACAGAAATCACTGATGTGTTTTTCATATATGTACTGCACGGTGCATATATATTTAGTGATTTACATATTTTGGAATTTTTCTTTCTCATCACATCTTGTAACTTGTATATAAATGAGGTTTGTTTTGTTTTTTGACAAAACTATTCTGGGAACTTTTTAAGACCTGTTCTCTTGAAAATAATTGATTTCCATGTAAATTCTATCTATTTATTTCATTAATGTGTGGTTTGTAAACAGATTCAATAGTTTGATTAATCTTCTGTACATTGACAGCTAAGCAGTCTCAACTAATGGATTAAAATATTTAAAAAAAAACAAGTAAATATTACCTTCTCTCTAATAGTTAGAATATAATTTTACTTAATATGTCAAATTTTACTGAAGAAAACTAAATACTACATTTATGGTTGTATTTTTTAATTATGTTAACTGTTATGAAAATTATTAGTTATTCATTATCCTAGCTACACATTTACAACTTCAACCCCAATTAAAAATTACTACTCTTCTTTAACAGGGACCTGGTAGAGTGTGGTCCATGGTTAGTGTGCTGGACTGTGAGTTCAAGGGTCCATAGTTTGCCCATAAATGATGCTCCACACTTTGGAGCTGTGAGTGCATTATAAAAGTGATGGTAAAATGCCATTATTTGATTAGAGCTGCCAGTGGAAGCTGTTGATTGCTACCTTCCTTTTAGTCTATCAGCTCAAAATTAGAAATGGCTAGTGCACATAATCCTTGTGTGACTTTGTGCAAGTATCTAAAGCACACAATTTCGATGACGAGGAACCCACTTTGAGACTAATAATGGCTGGTAACGGCTTGAATGGGTAATGAAGAAGCCGTCTCCAGCCATTATAAAGCACACAATCTTTTATATTAATATATGTGTTACTTTTGGTACCTTGATTTTTTTTTCTTTACATCAGATATCCACATTATGCATTGGATAACACAGTCAGTATTGAAAGAGTAAATACAAGTCAGTAGAACAAAATAGTAAGCTAAAATAGTGATCCCATAATGTCAAGAAAAGAAGTTGCTAATATAATCTTTTCTGCTAGGGAGGCAGTTCTGTAGCTGTTGACTTGAAAGTCCTACTGCCAGACAGAAATATTGTAGTTGTCAATGTCCAGAAAAATAGTACAACAAATGATGTTTACCAGGTGAGTACTATTTCTGTGTAGTTGAGTGCTCACTAAAGTATTTGTTTGTTATTACTTTTCTTTCTGTATTTGTTTAGACTACCCATTATGGGTAACTATATTTTCAAATGTATTGGTCGGGAGTGTAGTTCTATATTAACTACTCTTCTCACAACTGGCCATGACAGTGGATTTGTAGTTGAACTTGGGACATTGTAAGCTGGAGCAGCTGGACGTTAAATTGGTTTGTTGTTGTTAATGTAATAATTTTTCCCACATGATTCAACAAGTAACTGAAGAGATGGAAATCCCCAACACTACTTGAAGACTACTGGTGCATTTATTCTCCCAAAATTATACATTGTTTCTACATCTTGCAAAGTTTTAGCTTTAACTTCTTACTTGTTAAAGCAAGATTTATTATATCTAAACTCTCTGATACATTTTTCCCCCTTACACTTGTTGCAGTTCTATTTAAACTTGTAATATATTTATAGAGAGAAAGAAACTTATATACCATTCAAAAGAAGAACACTGGAATTACTCTTTTATTCAGATTTTGATTTTCGACTAAATAAAAGTAAAAAACAATAATGATCTTTTTGATTTTGCATAAACAAAACAGACCTATTATCAACAAAGGCATTAAATAATAAAACAAAGCTGTGTAATTTGTAAGTTTTGAATCTAATATTAATTTTTATACCAATAATAAAATAGCACTTCCCATAAAATTCTAAAGGAACATGCTGTGGTCCATAATGATTTCAAGTGGTAACATTTTAACAATAATGATCTTTTTGATTTTGCATAAACAAAACAGACCTATTATCAATAAATAATAAAACAAAGGAATTTGTGGTATAAACGTTTTAATTTATTGAATTATTTTCACAAATTTATATTTCTATGATTTAATTCAAGCCAATAATACACATACTTGTAAGCTAGCAAATTAATTTCTGTATAATCAGTCAGTTTACAGTTAGCACATTCCTCTTGCTACATCTATTCAAAAACAAGTGTCAGGTAGACAAAAAGACATTTACAAACACATCATACTCTTCACTCTGTGAGCTAATGACGACGCAATAAAAGGTATATTATAATATGAAACCATTAGAAAATATACAGTATAATAATTTATTTTTATCTGAATATTAGTGAAAATTTTTATTTTATAGCTTGTATGTAACAATTTAGTGTACGTCAACCATGCTAATTGAAAATTAAGATTAACAATTTTTTATTAAAAAAGTATTGAAAAACTGAAAATAATATCAAGAAAAAACCTTCCAAACATTTTTTGAATCACAATTCAAACAATTTATGATAATAACTGTACATAGGGTAAAACTTGTTTGAAGAAATTATATAATCAAAAGAAATGAATCCAAAAAATATTCATTTGAATTACTAAATGTATGCAATTAATTATTACTACTGCTTCATGAATATTGCATGACATTAATAACTGAGTATCTTCAGAACTGTTTATAACAGGTAATCAAGTTGCTGTAAAATAAAGGCACTTATTTTATAGTGAATATACATATATTATTTCCATATAACAGTTGAAATTTTGCATTACAAACATCTGCAGTTGATGGTTATGGAGTAGCAAACTGATAATGGTGTAATCGGCAGATATGCTGTGAAAGAGATTAAAATTGATATAAATTGTGTTTGAAGCAATAAGTAACACTTGAGCTCAAAATTGAATTCTTTATACTTAAAAACTGACATTTTCTTTAACCTGTTGGATACTAATCTCTTGTTACATGGGTCTGGCATGGTCTGGTGGTTAGGGCACTTGGCTTTGAATCTTCAAAACAAACCAAACTCTTGCTACAAGGCATTTTCAAGGGCAATTGTAAACATGAACTTGTTGAGCAATCTAGCTATATTATTCTGTATTTTATGAAGTATATCTTGCACAACCAGATGTGTACACTTTGATTTCATTTAACAAGCTGTATATACATATAACATAATTTTTTTTTTTTAGGCAGTTGTAGAAAAATTGAATATACCTCCTGATATTTCAAAATACTTTGCTTTGTTTGAAATTGTGGAATATGGCTTTGGTAAGTATTCCCTAAACTTATGAATCTACAAGCTACTGTACATACACAACTACATGACATACATCATTGTTTACTTATTTACTCCAAATACAATTATGTATTTAAGATGTATGCTGTACTATATCTTGAGATATACAACCAATTTACATATACACAGAAAACAAGTAAAATCTTTAGAACTTAATTTACATCCGGTCATTAGTTGGGTAATCTCTATGTTAAGTGTTTCCAGCTACAAATAGTTTATTAAATTCTGTAATGCAAGGATTATCTTCATGTTTTCTTATTCTGACTTTGGGACAGCTGATAAGATAGATGTGTAGCATGAAATATATATACTCTTTCCTTCACATCAACATTTTTCTTATTGTCTTGTGGCTTGAACTGATTCCAAAATATGTTTACAGTATTCATCATTTTATTTCCCTGCACTTCCTAAATCATTTTTTTGTTAAAAAAAAATACTATTTTCTACAGTTAACAATATATTTTGCATTATTTTTAAAGATTTGTGTAACTATAATATGAGTATGCTAAGTAGTGTATCAAAGTGCTCATCACATCGTTTTACAAAATTACATTCAAAATTAAATCAATTTTACTATCAACTTGTCAGTAAAATTGACATCAAAATGTAGTTAAAATCAAATTTTAATGTTATACAAGTCTTAATATCTTTATTTCAAAAGGAAATATTTAAATAAATTCTCAGTCTTCATTTCTGTGTATCATATGACACTTATTTGCTCTGAATATAGCCTACTTAAACATTTTTTCCACCTTTGTTTCAGCCTCTGAGTTTGAATATAGATTATATACTTGTAGTTATTGCTTAGAAGTAATCTAATTTTTATAATCTCCATTCATCTTTATGTACAGAAAAGTAAACCTGAAAGTCAAACCCTGTGCCACATCCTACTGTCATACAAAAATGTTTGTAATTCTCTCTAATGTTTGCTATTACATTACTCATAACCAACAGAAATAGAAGATTTTAATACTAAACTACATATAATGTTAACTTGTTATGATGACAATTTTTAATTTATTCAGCCTACACATTCAAAGCTACTATCACTAAATTCACCTTGATCATGTTATAATTTTATGTTCTAAACTGAATATTTCAAGTAAATTTAAATTCAGTAAAGTAATCACAACAGGTGTACCAAAAACTAGGTTTAACTGTTATCGATAAATTCAGTAAAGTACTCACAACAGGTGTACCAAAAACTAGGTTTAACTGTTATCGATAAATTCAGTAAAGTACTCACAACAGGTGTACCAAAAACTAGGTTTAACTGTTATCGAGACTTTAAGTGCAAAAATGTACAAGACCCACACATAAGTACTAAATTTCTTGTTCTTATTAGGATAGATAAGAAAACATAAAATAAAAATTCAATTAAAAAAATTTCTCTGTGAGGTATCCACATGAGTTGCATGACTCAATATTATGTTTGCCATAACTTGGAATTTGAGCTATTCACTCGCTGGGTGATCTCTCATTTTGTTACACAAGTTTAGTAGTTAGCCACAGTGCAAAGAACAGTATACTTAAAAATGAAAACAGGTGTAAACTGTTATAAACCTGAGTCAATTTGGGATAAATAACTGGGACTTTTTTGTTAGAATCTACAGTCATTCTAGAATAAAGAACGGAATAACTTAGATTTATTTTGTTGTGGTTACAAGGTCAGTCAAATTGACTGAACCTGTATAGTGTTAGAGTAGAGAAAATAACATAAAATATAAAGTTTTACTGAAAAAACTTTTGCTATTCATTTAGGAGGTTCTAGAGGTTGTGTAAATGAAATATGAAACTGTAAGATGAAAATGTATATTTATTATTAACTTAAATCATCTTGCACTTGGACTAGTCAGAGACTGATTCAGAGACTAATCTTTAATACAAATATTTTATTAAAAGTTCAGATATTTTTGTTACAACATACTTGTAATGTTTACTAAAAGTTTACTAAATTTCATAAAGATACATTAAGTAAATTAAGAATTTATAGTAAACATTAATATTACAGTACAAGCTTGGCCCAGTGGACTACTTCCTTATCTATAGTATTAAAACCTTATAAAATGTAGGCATACCACACACACACACACACACCCAAGGAAAAGGTTACCAACTATTTTTTAATATATTTTGAATTACACTTTTATGTAAGGTCATACAATAAAAGCCCAGCATGGCCAGGTAGTTAGGGCTCTCGACTCGCAATCTGTAGATTGCAGGTTCGAATCCCCATCACACTAAACATGCTCGTCCTTTCAGCCATGGGGGCATTATAATGTGATGGTCAATCCCACTATTCGTTGGTAAAAGAGTAGCCCAAGAGTTGGTGGTGGGTGATGATGACTAGCCGCCTTCCCTCTAGTCCAGA